GGGGGCTGAAGGGGGGGTTTTGTGGGGAGCGGTTTCCCTAAACTGCGCCACCCGGAGGATGGGTGGCACTACACCCCCAGGAATTCTGGGAGTTGAAGTCCACCCATCTTCAAGTTGCCAAGGTTGAGAAACACTGCTCTAGCGTGTTGTCCTTGGCACAGTTCTGCCTTCACGATGATTGGTTCAAACAAAGGTGCCGATCTGCTAAGATCTCCGATTGCATTGCTTTCGTGCTTCCAAACTTACCTTTCAATCCTAAAGGACCAGAAATTTTATTTGCGGTGAAACAGCCCTGCGTTAAAATACTGAATTTTGTGCCCGATATTGCAAACGCACCTGTTGTTTTTATTTTTCATCCCTTCGCACTGGTATGGAATTGTGCAAAACAAGCGCGTGAGCACTTCGCTCATTCCTTGGATATTTTCTAGAGGACGGTTTCATTCTCCAATTCTGCGGATCCTTATACTTTTTTATTGTTACGAATATTAAGGACCGCGTTGGGTTTTGTTGACCTATTTGGAATTCTCCCGTCTTTCTCCCACGAGGTCAAATCTCATCAACACGAGGAGATCCAGAACGTCCGCAAACACATTCATTCCTGCTTCACCAACGTCAACTGCTTCCTTTTGCCCCATCCGGGCCTCAAAGTGGCTACCAGCCCGAATTTCGATGGCCGTCTGAGCGGTAAGGGCTAGAACCTCTGAAGGACCCGCGGCTCGATATAAAGAAGGTCCCACGTTCCAAAACGTAGCTTTGTCCTTCAGATCCCCAGTTGGTAAAATTCTCTTTGGAAAAGCATCTCTCAATTTTATTAAAGCGTTCCAGGGTTTGGCTCTTCGTCCGGCTTCTGTTTTACATTGGGCTGTTCTTGCAGTAAGCAGGATTTTATTCTCTGTGGTACACTTGGTTAGCTGAGTTGGGTATTGGAGATAAAAAGGCCAGTATATTTTTATGAGTATTTCTCACAAACAGGGAACTGTTAGGCTTGCATGAAGCACTTCCTGGGGGTTTGGATTGAGGCCCTGGGCTGGCTCACCGTTGATATATAAACATAAGGACTAGAAACTTTTTAAATCAAAGTGGATATCCTGGAAGAGCTGCCATTTGTGAATGGTACTTGACCCTGCGTGATTTTAGGTGGAATTGTGAAGCATGTCCTAATCTTAAAACTCCTGTTTTGGCTTTGGGTTCCTGGCCCGAGGATGAACAATTTCCTCCTATCCCCTTTGGAAACGATGGTACCAGATTGGGAAACCAACATTGGAGAATATGCAGTAGTGACACAATTGATAATATATATCGATAATAGAAGTCTAACCATATTTAAGCAAGAATGGGTCCCATATTTTCTACCCATCATATAGCAGGGCAGATTTAGACATTTGGAATAGATTTTTTTAGGGAGAAAGTTATGAGACTAATCAAAAATAATAGATTCCAATAGATACTAGCAATAACCTTTAACTTAAAGCATATTTATCTAGGTTGTAGTCGGTGGTTGGGGAAATAAATGGAAGGAAAGGGAAAAATGTATTACGAAAAGTTTTCCTGTAATGTTTTTATTTATGTTTTATTTACACTTAGTTGTTTCTTTTCATCTTATTCAACTGTTTCTATTCTGTATAGACTTTTTTCCCTTTGCATTTCATTACTCTAATAATAAAAAAGTTAATGTATTTTGCAACATTTTATCAGTCATACTTAGCATTAATTGCACAACTTAAGCAACCTTTTGTTCAGTCACATCTTAGAAACCTATTTAACATTGATATAAACATTTTCTCATCTTTAAAGGTTTAATTTATCTAAACCTATGTTTTTCAAACTTGACAATGTTAAGATGTGTGGACTTCATCTCCCAGAATTCCCCAGCCGGATAGGGAATTCTGGGAGTTGAAGTCCTCGCACCTTAATGTTGTCACATTTGAAAAACACTGCTCTAAACCATCAGTTTTTTCCTTTCAGCAAGAGGTAAATACAGAAAAAAATAGTGAGAGCTGCTGTGGACTGGCGGTTAAGGTGCTAGACTGGGGTTTCTCAACCTTGGGAACTTTAAGATACGTGGACTTCAACTGCCAGAATTCCCAGTTGAATAAGATGAAAAGAAACAACTAAGTGTAAATAAAACATAAATAAAAACATTACAGGAAAACTTTACAGGAAACTAACAATTTCCACTTTCTATTGTATAAATGCACTCAGTTATTACCTGTATTCCACAATGTCTGATTTATATTTTATAATGCAATAAAACAGTTAACTTGGGAGGGGGGGAATCCTTCTATTCCCATTGAATTCTTCCTCTTTATCTTTTTCACCCTTCTTTTGTTTTTGCGCAGACATCGCAGAGGAATTCAAAGATCAGCTGAAGCAGTTGATCCCCTTTGTCCTGGATCCCAGTCAGCTCTTAGAAAAGGAGATCAACGGTTCAAAAGTGACCTGTCGAGGCTTGTTGGAATATTTCAAGGTATGTTTCCTCTCATTGGTTTTTTTTTCCTTTCAGCAAGAGGGAGGTAAATACAGAAAAAAATAGTGAGAGCTGCTGTGGACTGGCGGTTAAGGTGCTAGACCGGGGTTTCTCAACCTTGGGAACTTTAAGATACGTTGGCTTTCACTCCCCCACCTCCCCACGCCCGGCGCGCGGGCTGGGGTGATGGGTGGGTGTGAGGACACCCC